ACTCCATCGTTCGCCGTTGGTCCAGTACCGCCTGGGCTGCTGTAAGCCTTATGTTGTCCCTGCATTTTGTCTCACGGCCATTAATGATTGTTCACAGCTCGGCCTGGTGTCTCCCAACGGGCAGATGAACCTGGCGGGGAAAGATATCGTCACTGCCATGCAATTCCTCCAGAAGGTTCTCCCAAGCTTCGGGGGCAGCCCGTCCAAAATCACTCTCGCCGGACAAAGCTCAGGTGCCAACATGATCCGTGGCCTCCTGGCCACTCCGTCCGCACAGTCGCTCTTCCAGTCTGCCATCCTCCAATCGGACCCCATGGTGAGTCGACTGCAGCCTCAGCTTTATTGTTCATTGTGCTGACTTTGGCTGCCAGGACTACGGTTTCCTCTCCACTGGCACTCAGAAGACCCTGCAGGACTTTTTCGTCAGCCAATTGTCATGCTCGGCATCGGACACTGCCTGCCTCAACAACCTCTCGATTGGCACCATCCTCACCGCGCAGGACAACCTCATGAACAACGCGCTCGGCCTTGACCCATCCACTGGCTCAGGCGAGCCCATCCGCCTCGTCCGCGACGGCTCGTTCATCACGTCGCCCCTGGACTCGACGGCGCCGTTCCCGTCGGTGTCGAAGCCCATCCTGGTCACGAACGTCCGGAACGAGGCCGCGCTCTCCATCTACGGCGGCATCCCGGCGATCGGCGTCGCGGACTACGAGGAGCTCGTGGAGGAGACGTTCGGCACGGGCGCGACGCAGGCGATCCTGAAGAACACGGACTACGCCGTCGCGACGCTCGGCGCCGTGGGCGGCGGCGCGGACATCGCGACGACGGCCGACGAGCGCCCGACGCTCGAGAAGCTCGGCACGGACCAGATCTGGCGCTGCCCGACGTGGACGTTCGCGCGCAACTGGGCCGCGCACGGCGGCGCGGCGTACGTCGGCATGTACGTCGTCGGCGCGAGCTACCCCGGCAACATCGAGACGACGAGCTTCTGCGGTGACGCCGGCATCGTGTGCCACCAGGACGACATCGAGATCGTCGTGCGTACATCCTTCCCTCCCCTTTGTTTTTGGGGTTTCTCCCGCTCACAGCGCCGTCTCGTCCCTCTAGTTCGGCACGGCGCCCAGCCCAGACGCACAGCAGTCCGCGCTCATCTCGGAGATGCAGGCCCGGTACAAGGCCTTCTTCAACACCGGCAACCCGAACGTCGCCGGCCACGCCACCTGGACCGTCGCGGGCACCAGCGACGTCCACGCCCTGACCCTCGGCGGCTCTGGCGAAGTTGCCGCCGGGGGCTGCGACCCGTCCTTCTTCGGCGCCGTTGTCCCATACGACTACCAGGTCTTCGACATTTGATTTCGCTCTCGCCTTCGATCCGTGTTTGGGCCGCCTTCAACGCTTTGTCTTGTTCTCTATTCCTAATTATCGTCGCCGTGGACTTTCGCTCCCACGGGGAGTCACCCTTGTAGCCCTACTATTTTTAATCTCCCTGGTCTTCGGTTGTTGCAGATATCCTTGTGGCCTCAGTTTTCCTTCGGACTTGTTCGGTGCCACTTTCTTCATTCATGTCTCGATAACTCTCACGTCCCCTGTAGCCTAGCCTGTTGGCACTTTCGGTTTTCCAACGATGTAGTCATGACCGGTTTTGTATGACGTACTTCACGAATACGATACACCTTGCCTTAACTCGTGGTCTGGACTGTGGAATCTGGACTTGAACTCTTTTCACATCTGAAACTCGCAGCTTCAGCTCAGACAGGGTCGCATTGTAACGAAAGAAGAGAATCCTAAGGATACAAGATGTAATATAAACCAATGAGTACAACGTGTAGTAGCGGGCGATAGAGAACAAGACAAACAAAAACTCCAATAGGTGTTACCGTACCAGCATCAGTTTGTTTCTGCATAGTCACGCAGATGCTTGAGTTGCTTCGAGACCTCCTCCTTGAACATGACGATATCGCTGCTGTTCTTGATGATCTCGCGCACAGTGTCGTCTCGGAGACGGTTGACTTTCGCCACTTGCTCCTTGTATCTAATGAGGACGTTGTTAGCCAGCAAAGCGGGATGATGGAGCTTTCAGACATACGCGATCTGAAGCGCCTGCAACCGTGCTTTGACACCGACTCCGTGCGCTTTCGCAGCAGACCGCGCTTGTGCCAAAGCTTCTTCAAGTCGCTCAGCCTCCGCATTGCTCGCGAGCACTTCCCGTTGGACCATCTGGGGGTACGGGTCAGCCAGCCATAGCATACAACAGACCACGCGAACCACTCGCTTCTCTCAGCTCTTCCGCCTGATCATTCAGCGCATTCGCTTTCTTGAGGACGTCCAGCACCTCCTCTTCCATGTTCTCACACGCGGTGACAAGCTGATCGAGATCGTTGTCCACTGCGATCCTGTCGTTCTCGATCTCGGCGCGCTGCTGGCGTTTCTGGTCAGCGATGACGGCCAAGCTCGGCTTCACAGCGTCTGCGATATCAGGCCCCGTGAGGAGCTGTCGTAGGTCGGACGCCGCAGAGTTCATGCGCAGAGCGAGGTGCACATCTTCGAGAGGTGGCGGTAGTGGTGGGAAGAGCTCGAGCGTTGTGAGCAGCCCGCTGTAAGTGTCGATAGCTTCCTCAGCGTCGGCAGTCTTCTTACCCAGGGACACTTCGAGCTTGTTGATCGTCTTGGTAGACTCCGCAATCTTGCTCTTCAGGGTCCTGAGGTCATTAGAAAGCGTCTCGTGTTCGGTGTTCATTCGCAGGACCTCTTCCGGGGAGAGGTTTTGCACTTTCACAATGGAGGCCAGACGGTTCTGCTCAGCGTTGAGATCGTCGATGGTCTTCGCTACAGAAGATAGACAACGTCAACAGGGATAACCCAGAGACGACATGACAAGAATGCTCACACATATGCTCGATTTCATCGTTCGTAATTGCTATGGCGTTCTCTAACCTTTGCTTCCTGTCTTCATAGACATGTATGCACTCCTCGAACTTGATCTTATCTCTTGTCAAGTACCCGTGATTCTCCTCCAGTTGCTTGACGGGTGGCTGGAGGATGTGGTTAATGGCGGCAAAGGCACCCTAAGTGATATTGAGAGACAAACCGGTGCTTTCTTTAGGGTCTCCAGTTCTGTTTCAACTTGCGCCAGCTTCTCTTTTTGAGACTGCAGCTCGGATACAACCTGTTCGTCCTTCTTAGCTGCGTTTTGTTGTCAATACGGTAATAAGCCACAAGCCCTTGTGTACGAACCATATCTTTCTTCGATCATTCGCTCTTGCTCTGGGTATACGTCGGCGCCAAGAAGGAATGCTTCGTACGTTGCCACATAATGTTCAAAGGCGAGAGCATTATCGTCTTCGAAAGCAACAGGGATTTGGTCTGGATCTTGAAGCGTGGGATCGCCACTTTCGAGGTATTCCCGTTTTGCCTGAACACGCAGTAATCAATGCAACGGCCAAGCGCATTAAAGGCGGTTCCCGTACTCTGCCCATTTCCGCTAGCCAGTGTAGCATGCCCAGTAATGACGGCCATGAGTATGGCGCTCCAGGTGCAGAAAGCCACTTGAGGTCGAGGGAACTGACGTAGGGATAATACAGGGCCTTTAGTGCTTGAATAAGCTGATCACCAAGATTCTTCGCAGGATCGAAATGCCAGTCAGGATCTAGACATTGCACAAGTTGTTCGAAGATGACCCTAAAGTCTTTCGCCGTGATGTTCTGCAGGATTTGCGGCGAGACATCGAGGTCGTTGGCTCGACACCAGTCGATGATGTCTTGTCGCATCTTGACTTGATAGGACCGCTCTCGTAGAGGTCTGGTATCCTTCGCAGCCTGACTAGTCGAGGCGACGTTGCCCTGCGCACCTCCGGTCCACATCGACCCTCGGCGCGTGCTGCTGCGAAGATGAGAGGATTACGGGTGAGAATGTGTCCTTCAGCAGGTATAGTCGGACTGTATATCCATACGATAGAGCTGGAAGAAATACCTTTGTACAGGTGTCCGCCCGAAGTTCGGCTTGCTCGCACTCATGAGCAACGGGTTCATATTCTGGGAACGCATCAAGGCCCTCGGTGTTGGGCCAGGCCCATGATTAGGCATAGGATATGGCGCTCGAAGCGCAGGGCCGGACATGGACATTCTGCCACTATGACTCGTCTTCTTCACGGTGGATGGCATGGGTATCCCTGAGCCCGGTCCTCGTATGTTGCCATACGGATCGGCCGCAGGCTGCATCGTCGAGCGACGTCGAAAGTCCGTCATGAGGGACTGTGGACAGAGGGTCTGAGTTCCTATATGCGAGAGATTGAGTAGCTCTGATCACTCGCCGGCAGTGGTGAAGGAAAGTGTAAGGATATCGACGCGCGAACGCGAAACGGGTCTAGCGCGTGTAGTCACGTGCTGTATATATTCTGGCGCTTGCCCGTACTCTCCCCTGAGTCTCCTCGACGCTCGTTGATACTTCCATAATGACCTCCGCTCGTGATTTGTTCGGAGGTGCCATTAACGTCACACTGCCCACTTCACTCCTCGATGCATCGTACGCTATTGCACATCTTGTCTGCCGAACCTGCGATAACGACTGTCGGAGGCCCATCCTAAAGGGACCTACGCCAGATCCCCGATACTCAAGAGGTTTTCCTTTCCCCAAATTCTGGCATCAGCATCATCTTTGAGGTGCTGGAGAGAGTGCCTGCTACCGACCCGATAGAGGCAGTGAGGTGCGTACGCAAGGATATCGTGACGCCACATACATCCTCATCATTACTACAGGTACCACTTCGACTCGCTTGCGCGCGACAACTCCGCAAGAAAGCAGGTTATACTGCACACCACAGAGACTACTCAGCGCCAGGGGGACACTCCCGCTCCGATTATCCTGCGCGGCACGCAGTCTGTCCCGAAGTTCAACGCCGCTGAACCCGACGAAGTCCAGATTCTACTGGCCCTGTATAGGGTGGAGAATAAGAGTGTCGATTTCGTTATGACCATGAACGTGCCGACAAAGACCTCAGATGGCGGTGCTGTCACCCCGGCTGAGCTTGCTGAGGCGACACAACTTTTCGAGACTGCAGCGCCCTCGCTTAAGATAATCGACTACGGGTTGTTTGCATGAGACGAAGTCTGGCCCTGCTGCGCAAGAAGTAATCTGACCGGCAGGTACGCGGAAAGCTCGATGCTATTGTTGACAGCCTAACATTGAGATGTAGCAGATCCAATGCATGTAGCGACGTTGAAGCAATTAGTGTACAAGGAAGCGTGCATGTGTACATTAGTCCAGCATTCCAAGAACATACAAGCAATAGTACAACAGCCACATCACTCTTGCGCTAGATGGTGGGAGCACTTTGCAACAAAGCTTGTCAGTCAATGTTGGAAAGCACCTCCGCTTGTTTCTGAGGCCGAAGGTCGTCCCGCTCAGCCTCAGCTTCAGCTTCGGGTTCCTCTTCAATGCGGTCATTGACCACGTTGGTGGTATCCGCGGTCGCCTTCGCTTGCTTTTTCTTCCTGGCCGACTCCTTCAATTTCTCCCATCGCTCACGGTATTTCGCGATCATCGCTTTCTGTGCACCAGATCGGGTGAGAGATCGTAGCCAGTAGGCTGCTCTCTCTGCCACTCACATTTTTTTCATTCTCCACTCGCAGAAGCCTTATCTCTTCCTCTAGCTCACGCACACGACGAAGAAGCTGCGCCTCCTGGTCCCGTCCGGCGGCGGCTATGGCCACTGATGGGGAGACAGGAGGCACGCTAATCTTTAGTCCCGCGATATCTGGAACGACAGCTGCAGGTGGTGTGGCTACAACTGGGGCTACTGGGGATGGCGCAAGTCCTGCGATCGTCGGCGTCTGTGGCGGACGCAGAGCCATGGACGACACCATGGCACGTTGAGCCTGCGGGGCATTAGTGTTCAGCATGGTACAGAAAGACAGTGGCGACACATACCTCTTTTCGAGCAAGCATGATACTTTCTCGCAGCTGCTGATCTTGTTCCTGGCGCTGCTTCAGCATGCGTTCTGCTATTTCTGACCGTTCTCGCTGTTTCTCAAGCTGCGCTTTGAGTGTGGCGTTCTCTTGTTTCAAGACTGAGGTTGGCGGGTCGGCCTTGGAGGGAATCATGAAGAAAGAGTCTACCATGTCATCGTCTGTAGAGAAGTATCTTAGAGCCCGCTTTTCATAACTTCGTACTCTCCTTACCGCTACCAATCTCGTCGACCCACTCATCTGAATGTTGTGGTTTCGGCGGAAAGGTGCTGATACCAGCGCGACCACGATCAGAGTCCGAAGACATGTTCCCAGACGAGTCATTCCGGGTGAGCATACGAGATTTTGCTGCTTTTACAAAGTCAAGGCCACGCGAGAGTGTCTTGGCAATTGGGTCATCTACATCTGTATCGCTACCACCATTGTGTTCAGGAGGTGAAAGAGGTGCTGTTGCGAACGCTACAGGCTGAGATAGGTGTTCAAGCATGCCCTCAGTGATCTTCCAGAAGTGGTTGAAAGCATCTCCTGGTTCACTCTACCGCGGATGGGGGAATGAGTTCGCATGCAACCCAGCAGAGATGGTACTCACACGCTGTCCAAGGAGCATGAACGACTCGTCTACGGTCTGCTGAGAATCTGACAAGTTACGCGGCACCTGTGGGGGTGGCGACGGTGCGTGTTGAGGTGCAGGCAATGCCGCGTTCGTTGGCGTCGCGCTCTTCGACGGCTTTTGTGGAAGCGATGGATCTTTGTTCTCCTGCCTAAGCTTCTCAATCTTTCGTTGTAATTCTTTACCTGCTTTGCGGTGTTCATTGTGGAGCATGCGCAGGGTGCGCTTCGTCTGAGGCATATCAGTGAGTCCCTTATCGCCTGCGGAGTACACAGAGAACGAGGCACAGCGTACATTTTCCTCCGTTGAGGCCTGATATGCCGCCTCAAAAGCCTCGGCAGCCTTGTAGTGTTCCTCAGAAGCGGGGATCAGTAGGCCTTGCGCCATGTAGTCGTCCGCGTTGGCTGCATGCTGGTGCGCCTATTATGCGTCGCTGAGCATCACAACGCAATGTACAACAGGTGGTCCACCGTACCGCATTCAGTGGCGAGTCTACTGAGGGCATCTCGCGCTTGCTGCGAAGGGTCAGAAGAGTGATGTGTGTATATCCGGGGTGTGCGTATGGCGAAAGGCTAGGAGACGCTGCATGCTGCTGCAAGCCCTGTGCGTCACCGATGCCGCGGAGTCCGGATTTGGTCTGGTCATCCGTGCATGGTCATGAGCATGACCCAAGCCCGCAGGTTGAAAAACCAAGCGAAGTCCTTCCCCTAGACTGAGATAACCGACTAAGGCTGAAGTGTTATATCTTGAGCTAAGCACTCGTATTTCACGATGGACTGCCGACCTGCGGAAAGACCGAAGACTGCAGCGTAGCGGATGCGAACGATATCGTCGTCGTTACGATCGAGCCTGAAGCTTTCGACGTATAAAGTCGCCTGGGGGTCGGCTGAGCCTCACTTTTATTCCTCAACTTTTGACTATCATGTTCTTCTCGAAGAAAGCTGAGGTTAATTCTCGCAAAATCTCATTCAGTGCTGGTGATATGGATGTAAGTGATATCTCCGGGTAGACATGCGTATTTCATTCGCTTACTAGAATTCATACTTTCAGGGTGAAGGTGCAAATTTAAAACGTCGTAACGGCGTCCGTGCTCGCAGTGTTCCTTCTCGTCTAGAGGTGAGATCTAATTCTTACTTCTCACGTCGTACTAGAAATGCCAACATTTGCGGTATCAGAAGCGTTCTCGAGTGCGCCCTAGCACCAGCAATTATTCGGGTGTAAGTTGTTTTATATAGATCCACTTTTTGGGCTCAAAATAGTTCTCTTCTAGAGTGTAATTCCCTCTCTTGTCCCCGTGTCTCGTGCCCTCTCCAGGAACCGCAGTAACTCTTGCACTGCCCTGGGCTGGTTCGCGAGCGATATGGACTGGCGGGCAATTGTGCGCAGCGGTGTGGTGGAGACGACCGAGAGCAACTCCAGCGCGGTGGAACCGGTGATCGACATACGCCACAGCTGCGTCAAGTCGAGATCACCGATAGTTGTGCACCAGAGGAGGCCGCACAGTCTCGTGCCGCAGTCGGCTGAGGTGATGCTTCCAGACGATGTTATCATCCCGCAGGAGGTGCTGTCATATCATATTGCCTCTGCGGACGTTGCATCAAAAGGCACGGCTGGTGCTGAGCAGCTGGTACCCGTACGTTCATCACGTCACAGCGGATGTACAAAGACTAAATACTTGTCAGCGCTCGCAGGACGTATTCCAGGGTTCGGCAGATTGCTCTAGCCAGAGAAGAATTTTCTCGACCTTAAACATCCCGAGCGGAGATCACTGTGCTTCCACTGGTGTGCTTTAAATCGTCGTACCAGTCCACTGGGCAGAACGCTGCTATCACTCAGTTACCCAGAGACACTCTCGATACCACTCCTGTAGCATTATTATCTATTCTTGTTTTTATAGCTCCATATTAATATGTTTGCACGCTATGTATATACGCGATGCAGTGACTGAGCAGTCGGATTATGCGACCTTGCGTTGCGGGAGGGTGCGCGTCGAAATGTGCTGACGTAAGATGGCATATATTAGCGCCCGATGCCAAGACAGCGACTTGCCAGCGCTAAGTACTCGCGAAACTCATCTGCAGCTATGTCCATGTTCCAGCGCGATCCGAGAGCTGGAGCTTTCCTGGGAGGAGACAGGGTGTCTGGACAGGACATTAGGGATCAAAATGGTGCGCAGTGCTGGATTGCATGCCGGGAACTTGTGCTGAAAGTTGCGTATGAAGTCCTGGCTGCACGGTCTATCGCGAACATCGTGAAAAGTTCACTCGGCCCTCTGGGTTTGGACAAGATGCTTGTGGACAACATTGGAGTGCGTGGGCATGTATGTGCATGTGGTACTTTGCTCGAGCTTAGTTGCAGGAAGTTACGATCTCCAATGACGGCGCAACGATTCTGTCTTTGCTGGCTGTAGAGAACCCTGCTGGCCGTATCTTCGTTGACCTTGCGCAAAAGCAAGATCGCGAGGTTGGTGATGGTACTACTTCCGTCGTTATTATCGCCGCGGAGCTTCTCCGCCGCGCGAATGAGCTCGTCAAGCAGAGAATCCATCCTACTACAATCATAACCGGATACAGGCTCGCGTGCAGGGAGGCATGCAAGTTCATGCAAGACCAGCTGAGCGTGAAAGTCGACGCGCTTGGCCGCGATGCTCTGATTAACGCAGCGAAGACGAGTATGTCGAGCAAGATTATTGGCGGGTGAGTCGTCATTCCTGTACTGCACGCCGAAAGAGTCCTTACAAGTACAAATAGGGACGACGACTTGTTCGCGCCCATGGCGGTCGATGCCATGCTTGCTGTCAAAACCGTCAATAACCGGGGGGATATCAAGTACCCTGTAAAAGCGGTTAATGTTCTCAAGGCGCACGGCCGAAGTGCACGAGAATCCCTGTTCGTCAAGGGCTATGCACTGAATTGCACTGTCGCCAGTCAAGGTACATTCCGTGTCTATCATCCACGATATCTCCGATACTCACTGGATCACAGCGATGAAAACGCGGATAACCAACGCTAAGATTGCCTGTCTCGATATCAACCTGCAGAAGGCGCGGATGCAGCTCGGTGTCCAAATCCTCGTGGATGATCCGTCACAGCTTGAGGATATCCGCCGGAGGTACGTCCCTGGTTGCTGCTAGGATCTATATCCGTCGCTGACATCCTCGTAGAGAGTCCGAGATAACGCTCGAGCGCATTAGGAAAATACTTGCTGCGGGTGCGAATGTTGTGCTCACCACGAAAGGCATCGACGATCTGTGCCTGAAGGAGTTCGTTGAAGCCGGTGCCATGGCTGTCCGCCGGTGTCGCAAGGAAGATCTCCGCCGCATCGCGAAGGCGACTGGTGGTACCCTCGTATCGAGTCTTGCTAACCTCGAAGGGGAGGAGTCGTTCGAAGCTAGCTACCTTGGTCATGCCGAGGAGGTCATCCAGGAGCGCATTTCCGATGATGAGCTAATCCTCATCAAAGGCACGAAGGTGGTCAACTCGGCGTCGATAGTGCTTCGTGGCGCGAATGACTATATGCTGGACGAGATGGAACGAGCTTTGCACGATACGCTTTCCATTATCAAGCGTACGCTTGAGAGTGGCTCTGTAGTTCCAGGCGGAGGTGCTGTGGAGACCGCTCTGAGCATCTATCTTGAGAATTTTGCGACAACATTGGTGCGTCGCGATCTTTACCACCGGCATAGACTCATTCCGATTTGTATTGGACAGGGTTCGAGGGAACAGCTGGCAATTGCCGAGTTTGCGAATGCACTGCTCGCCATTCCCAAGCAGCTGGCCGTGAATGCGGCAAAGGACTCTACAGACCTCGTTGCCAAGCTACGTGCATATCACAATGCTGCCCAGAACGCACCTGCTGGCGATCCGAAGAAGGCTCTCATGCGCTACGGTCTCGATCTCCTCAACGGTGAAGTGCGCGACAACGTTGCGGCTGGTATTCTCGAGCCGACCATCAGCAAGGTCCGTAGTCTCAAGTCAGCGTTTGAGGCGGCTGTGTCTATACTCCGTATCGACGACGCTATTCAATGTGTGCCAGGTAAGTTTTCTCGGCATGTATAATGACGGATTAATGGAAGCTGAATAATATTATATAGAATCCAAGGGAGAGCCGGACCCTCACGGCCATTAGTGGATCTTTTGAGTTGTCTTATGACAGGCACAATCCAATTGTACATGAACCAGTTTAGTTTACTTCCAGATGCTTGCCGTTGGCAGAAAGGATGCATTCACTCCGAAAGGCAGCCCCGACGTATCTGATGCGCCTATCTTATAACACGTGACTAAGTCGCGGTTCGTTTACGTGACTAGAGGGTCTGCTTATAACTCGTCACTCAAATTCCTTGCTCGTACCGAAATTGCTAGGAGACTCGCCACATAGCTGCTGAGCTCCGTTTGGCTGTCCAATTTGCTCTGACTTGCACTCCGTTACATCATCTTATGCGTCTGGCCCCGTTTCGAGGGAAAGCGAGAACTCATGCAAGCAGAAGCCAGCTCGTCCGTGTTGGGCGACAAACGCCTGCCGGCACGGTTCGCACAGCTCATTTGGTCATGCATCGATGCCAACTTGCATCGCTCAGCCGTATTCTACGCGGAACGATACTACGCGATATTTCAGGACCATGATGCCCGACATCTCTATGCCACTGCGCTCCTGCAGTCGGACCAACCACACATGGCACACCACTTCGTGAACCGTCCTGCAACGGACAGGTGCTCTGGATGCGCGGAGATTAGGGCAAAGTGTTGCACGGCTCTGGGGAGGCACAGACAGGCGCGGGACGCGTTAGAAGAGTGTCTGAAAGATCCGCTGTATACATCGACGCGTACGTGTATCGCGTCTTGCAGCTTCGGCCTAATGAATTCACTGTTGGCGGTTTATTAGCATCTATGGAGACACGGGCTGCTACTGCATTCCCAGAGCCTGCAGTTCTACATTGCCGTGCGGGTGCAATGGCGTTGAAAGGGAACCTTCCAGAGGACGCTCGCCACAGCTTTCAGCAAGCCCTTGCACTCAATCCCATGATTTGGGAAGCCTTCGAGGGCCTATGCGCACTAGGCACGTTCCGTTATCCTTTACACAGTGAGCGCCGCGTTGACACTCTATCAGGCAACGTACCAGACGTGGACGCTGTCTTCCCCCCACGACCACTCCCGTGTAAACCTGCTCCAGGAGAAGAAACAATTTTCCGGCCCATAGCCTCTGGTGCAGGATTCTTCACCCCTGCTGCTGGGAGTAACGGCAATCTCTTTCGCTTCTACCGAAATGACACGACACAGTCCAGGCCGTCGGGGCCGCGCGACTCATTGTAGGCTGTCGGTCTTTGAGTGACCTCTATGTATGCTAACCAATCCCCACAGATCGACGGTGGATTCTTTCTTCGCGGAGGACTCGTTCCAGTTTAAGGCGCCTGGACTCCCGGCAAGCAGATCGCAAGCAGGGCCGTCAGACGCGGTCCTACCACCTGCTGTGCGTCCCCTTTCCTCAGCCGATGAAATGGGCCCAGTGGCCAAGAAGCTACGTTCTACTGCTCGCCAGCGCGTCCTGCCCTCTAGCGCCGCAGACTCGAACCATCTTAAGCCGTACAAGTCCGCTGGCGCAGCTCTGGAGGGGGCGGACGATCGCTCGAAAAGCTCTAAGGCACGCGCACGCCCGGCCCTGACCATTGCTAACATCTTCTCATCTCCCGGTCGTCGTGTCCAGGATTCGGTGATGACGTCCTCGAGGCCTAACGCGGCCACCACGTCGAAGGGCACCGCGGAACAACGGATCCCACCACCCACGTTTGGCCCCGCGCGGCGTAGCTCGAGATTGCAGCTAGTAACCAATAATAAGGCGCCAAAGGCCCCAACCAAGGTGAGTGGTCCCGGGTGTAGCACGGCGTTGGCGAATCCGAGCGTCTCATGAAATACTCCACAGAACGCCAAGGACAGACGGCGTGCCCCTGCACAAGCGCGCTCGAACTCTGAATCTGAGATGGACGAGGAGCTCATGGCACTTCCACGAGCGACTTCTCCAGGATCCGAAGGCCAGAGTAGCTCTGGAGTTGCAGCACAGCAATCACAAGCAGCGCAAGAAACTTACGAGATGGAGCTGGCAGATTATGCCATTTACAATCTGATGCGGATGTGCGCGACCGCTACGCGGGCACTTGCAATGTATGAATGCCGGGCGTGTCTCGAAGCACTGGAAAGACTGCCTGTGCAGCATCAACGATCCGCCTGGGTTATGGCGATGGTAGGGAAAGCGCATTACGAGATAGGCGAATACTCTGCTGTAAGTGCGGCCGACCCTTGTTTACCTCCTCCGCCTTAACTTAACCGCGCTCCCAGGCTGAGCGTGCCTTCGAGGCCGTCAGAGCACTGGAGCCGTATCGGCTTTGGGATATGGAGGTTTACTCAACTCTGCTCTGGCATCTGCAACGCCACATCAGGCTATCCTTCCTTGCGCATGAGCTGCTCGCCATCAACCCTCGGTCGCCGGAGGCGTGGATCGCTGTTGGCAACTGCTTCTCCCTGCAGAAGGAGCGATCCCAGGCGTTGACATGCTTTCACCGTGCGGCCCAGCTGGACTCAACATGTGCCTACGCCCACACGCTCAGTGGACATGAGTCTATTGACGACGACCTGGAAAAAGCGATTACATTCTTTGAACGTGCGTTGCACGCTGATGCTCGGCACTATAATGCCTGGTGAGAGAAATTCAAACTATGATAGGCGGACGGCCGCTTATCACTGGTTGTTGCCTGAATTTCTTGCAGGTACGGGCTTGGGACATGTTACATGAGGATGAGTCGACTACGGCAGGCTGAATACCATTATGGTAAAGCGGCCGAGATCCACCCACATAACGCCGTTCTCCTCGGCTGCGTGGGCATGGTGAGTCCGGACATGTGTCCATGGATACGGCAATTACTGATCGGAGTTCTGCCCATCTGACCAGGTGAAGGAGAGGCAGGGTGAACTCGACGCTGCCTTGGACTTGTTCAACGAAGCTGTGCAGCTGTCTCAGGACAACGCACTAGTGCGTTATCACAGAGCAAAAGTGCTTATCGCCATGAAGAAATATAAGGTTTGTGATAAACTTCTTTACCTTGGGCATGGAACGCCCGCTGATAAATTCAATCCTATCGTGGCGTTTTGTAGCTTGCTGCGCACGACCTTGAGGCGCTTAGGGACACGTCCCCAGACGAGTCCAACGTAATCTTCCAGTTAGCCAAAGTGTATCGCCTCATGGGGGACAAGGTCAAATCTGCGCAGACGCTTGCCATAGCAAGAGACGTGTCCCCGAAGAGCATCAACAAGATTCGGAAGTTGCTAGAGACGGTCAAGGACGAGAGCGCGGACGACGTGATGGATGAAGGCTAAGTGATCCGCTTTCTGGGGTGGAAGGGTCGTAAAAGTTGACGGACTGTGCACGACCCTTCTGTATTGTGTAGATAGGGCTGCAAATTGGATCCCGTTCCCTGCTAGTCTTTCTTTCTCAACTTTAGTCCTGATCGCGTATTGTGCCCATGGACAGGGGATGGCCCAGACGTCGAGCTGGTTGAAGTATCTGATTAGTTGCAAGCGGAGAGTCAGATATGACGCGAAAAATGGTAGAAATGTGGAATGTACGGGAGAAATGAGGTATGTGTCTGGGAAAAGGGCATGTTTTGAGTCGCTCCAGCGAATCGCGTGAGCTTTTCGCTGGGCTCGAGCTCACTCGCCCCACTCGCCCGATGCGATGGCGACTCCGTGGGACCGTGACTCTGTGACGTGACCTACGTGACTAGGAGCCGGGTTGCGCGTTACGGAACGGTTACCAAATGAGTGGATCTGAGTCACCGACGGCGTCACACCGCATCCGTTATAAAGCGCCCCGCGGTGCGGACCCTCATCGGCCCCCTGCCCTCTGCAACCATGTCCGCCTAAACGTGCCATTCATCTCCTACCCGCGTATCCTTGCCTTCTTATCTCTAGCTCGCCCCGACAGTCTCATCAGCCGTCAGGCGACTCCTGGACACGAGAATGGTTAACAAGTCCTACCGCAAGTCTACGAACGGCACTCTCCTGTTCGAGCCATTCGTCGTATATCGCATACGTCGGTGAACCGCAACCATTTTGTCTCGTACGTCCCTCTATAGTAGCGAGAATATCGTGCCGCTAACCATGAGCCGCGTGTATGCGGCGTACAGAACGCATTCATACTCGCATATCCCTTGTTCAACCGGCCTACTTCACTCTACCCGCACCCCATCTTGATCGTCACTATGACCACAGAATCCAAGTCGCTATTCAGCTTGGCTCGCAACAAGCTGCAGTCTGTCGTTGGCGGGGGTGCCAAAGACACTAGCAGCTTGCATCGTTGGGTCCTGCTCAAAAACTCGATAGTACGGTCGCATGTCCACCCCGACACACCCCACCCATCGGACACCGATGCAGACCCTGATTATAGACAGAGCGATGACTGTTTCGAGGAGGAGCATGATTCTTTCATGTTCCCTGACCCCCATTCCGTGCAAGACAACCAACCCACTGACGCTGGCAATGGCGAGAGGCAGTGGCTGGACTCCTTGCTCGAGGACTTGGAGGACGAGGGCGACGACTACCTCAGAACAGACGACGAGACGGCTGCTTCTCACCTACCCTTTTCCGACGAGGACACCGAATCGCTGAGTCCTCTCTCCTCTCCTATGTCCTCCTCAGACGATCTCGTCGATCATTCCAGCTACTTCTACCCTGTGCCATATCCACCTGTTCATTCACCGCATGTTCCTTCTTGGCTTTCTGATTCTTCTGCCTCCATTTTGCCACCCACGCCTCCGCTGTATGATAATCCGCTTCCCTATCTCAACGTCGACGAATTAGACGACTCTCCTGTGCCAGATGCCATAGAAGACGTGTCGGATGACGAGTCAGACGCGCCATCTACGCCTTCGACCGTCTCGACCCCGACGCTATCGCTGCCCGGCTCTATCATCCCTGTTTCCCGCGAGCGGACGCGGCTACTTTCCCACCCCCCTCCCCAAGTTTATGTTGAAATGGACGATCCATATTTCTGCCTGTTCGAGCTTGATCCCTTGCCATTCCCCGATGATACTCTCGCCCCTTCAATTCATGCTTATCGTGGTTCATATTCAGAGTGTTGATAATCGCAGGTTGTGCTTTCTTGTTAATAGTTTTATTCCTAAGTCTCCTCCCCGATCCTTGTCTCGTGGTCATGCAGGGTTATTGTACAACGTGCTATGATCTCTATCCCATCAGTGTCTAATGTGTCTCTACTCGCATTTGCTACTCGCTGTACTTGGAATCCTAGTACTGCATTTTCCATTTCCGCATACACCCTGCGAAACCCCTGGCGTGACCGCGTGGTAAGCATTGCAAACAACCTTTTGTCTCCGCCCCTGGGCGGCCAATCAGTAATCTGTCCGGTTTCGCCCGCGGTGTCCGGAGGGCCGTTTGAGTTAGCATCCGGAGCAGGGGCGGTCGTTTTCACAGCAACAGAGGGAGTAATGCGTATCTCCGATGGCATTATTCGCGCTAGTGTGGGTACTGTGTTTCGCTCGGACGACAGTGCGGAAGAAGCGGCCAGACGAGGACGGTCTGGTACGTCACGGCGTGATAATGGCCTTGTCGTGTGACCCCGCTGGAGCCGCGGAGGGAGGCCCCATAAGGGCGGCGTCATCCACGCCCGTCAAGGTTTCGGGCGTTACGAACTGCACCGCGAGATTGTTGAAGGCCGTGACCGATGATGGACATGGTGGCAGTGGAAGCGAGGTCAGGAGCGGGGCTGGCAGACGCCCAACACAGGTTGGCCCCGCGGTCAGCGGCCGAGCGGGCACTGTTGGCGCGGGCAGGGCACTCACCGAGACGTCCAACATAAGGGTACTCTGCGCGCAGCTTGTGTGACGGAATGCTGAGGTGCAAAGCACGCGAAGCGCGCGTATCAAAGCGTCAATTCCAATGTACGGGCCAGAACACGCAAGATAGCGGCATCATGAGGCACGAGAGACGCACCTGTCTAGGTACTCGCTCAGGCGGTTCGCGATAAGCACCAGACGCGGTAGGCGTTCTCGCGAACAGTTCTCGCGGAGGATGTTTTCGTACAGGGGCAGATCGCAATGCGGCATGTATACGATAGTCGGCTCCCCGAGCGGATACGCCGCGCTCTGTAAGAGAGAAGAGCAGGGAGGAGTCACATTAGCTCGTGGCAAATACGGAGCACGAAAGACTGGGTACATGCTCGGTTCTCGATCAGGCGCTGCACCTGCGCGGTCGCCAGAAGTTGTCCATCTTCGTCCGTGAAAACAGGATCATATGCGGAGACTGTCGATCGCTCCTGGAGGCACATGAACACGGTATATTTCGGGCTAGGGATACATGCAGGAGAGGTGCACACACGAGCGTGAGATCGTCACAAACTGCAAGGAGAAACGCGAGCTGGGCCCGCGCATCACGAGAGGATGAAGGGTTCCCCAGTCCGAGACAGAGCACCCGCGGTTGCTGTATTGCGAGAGCCTGTAGTGCGTCATGAATAAGCTCTATAAGCGATGCCGCGGAACGGTCAGCCCGAGGGTCAGAGCGTCACACTTAGAGATACGGTGACATACGCGTGCATTTGTTGACCCAGCCGCTTGATATGAGCTCTTGGACAGTGCTCGATAGCACTACCGCGGGGTCAGGACGCTCTTGCGGTATCTTGTTCTTACGCTTCTTCTTGGGCCGAGAAGGCGTGAAAGGGACCTCGTATTCAAAGACCGCCATGTTTGCGGCCATTTCAGGCGATGCACGAAAGGTTTCAGGGCCTGAATAAGCGTTCAAAAGACCGAAGGCGAACAGCTACAGGGGTCAAGTAAAGGCAGCGAGATGAAGAAGGAAGATGAGTAACAACGAATCGACCAAACGCCGCAGCCCGTTGATGGATGATTAGCAATGCCCAAATTGGCAGGCGTACAGCCTGAGCAAAACTCTCGCAGACCACAGCCAAAGACAGACCCGGAGAATGATGGCCCGATTATGACCTCAGGCTCTGGAAGCACAAGTGCGGGATGCATGAGAGGCGGATCAACTTGTGAGCTCATTCCTGTGAGTGAATGCGCGACCTATGCGGGCGCGGATTGTGTGCGAGCCCGACGCTCCGGGGTCAGCTGGCTCAGGTTGCATGCCATGAAACTCGTAGTTAAACTCAGAGTTCGCAGAGGACGGTATAGTCAATAGTATTGCGACTGACCCTAACGGCGAACAGCTCTTATCGCTTGCGCACGCATTTACGTGCTCGCCAGTTGTGTCAGCAACACGCGACACTTTACGTCTATTTCTCTTGATGAACCTTATGCAATATGATCTGTAGACGGATTCACAGGCTTGTGTATCTGACGCGAAATGACAAGATAGAAACGTTCCGGGGTGTCAGGGCCTCGCCCGTTCATCATGCAATCCTGTGCAACCCCGGCGACGGCTGTTCCTCTGATAAAGATAGCAGCTAATGAATTGGCCGATAGCTAGTGAACAAGCGCACATCAGAACACAGCAGACTCACACGGCAACTGCGAGACGTACACCTTAAGTCAACGCGACGTCTTCATATCTCCTGGATTGCCCAAAGGTCATCCCCGAGGTACAGGACGGTGTCGACGCCGACATCCTTGTTTATCTTCTTCATGTCTTCCGTGCTGACTTTGGTGATGCCGATCCCCGCAGCGTGTTCTTTGCCTTCTGCGAATATAGCGACCGCCTTACCCGCAGGTATGTCCTGCTCCGCCGGTGGGAGGTAGCCACCCTTCGATGTCAGACCCGGGCACATCATGGGAGCCCCCGCAAGCAGGAAGCGGATGGCTCCTCGGTCAACGCCTACTTTTGGGAGGACAAATGGATCTGCCGCAATGCCGTCAGTGCTGTGCATCCCATAGCAGAACAAGAGCTGACATACACTTGTGCAAGAGTCTTAGAGTAGGAATCAATGGGTCATCAAAGTGCTGGAGGAACAGTGGTTCGCCGTGCAGAGCGTAGATGGAGATGTGATCTCTGCTATCAGCATGGAAAAGTTAGAATACCAAGGGTGGGCGAGCGCAGCACGCCGATATGAGATAACAGACCACTTGACTAGAGTAATGGACTCCTTCTTGGGCCATATTTCTTCCAGGGTCTCCGGGTTGATGTTCCACTGCGAAAGCAGGTTTGCACGGAGCGAACGCTGGATGGAGCTCTTCACGCTCGTTTGTCCGGAGATATCTGTTGATGGTTGAAATCTATGTTGAGCTTGTGTCAGACTATCGAGTATGGCCATTCTCTCGCAAAGCACAGACGCACTTCTTGAACATTGTTCGGACAGGCAGTGGTGAGCGTAGATGAGTGTGAGATTACATCTCGCTTCTCACTGCGAAGCGATCTCATTGGCGGAGCGCGGCCAGTCACAGCCGTTACCAATATCGTCACCACTGTTACCGTCACGCTAGCGGGGAGCGCGGTCTGACTCGGATGCGGTACGACTTCGTCTGTGACTATAAAGGTATACTTGACATTTCGCTGAATGTCACATAACTGAGGTCATGTCCGTTAGGATAGGGCTCTATTCTATGACTATGTCTCATATTGATAGCGAGTCATCAGATGATTCAGATCTGCGGCTACCTCGAACTTTCAACTTAACGACGACTCAAATGGTCCCGCAACTACCTAATGCCCCGTCGCTCCTAATTTCTATGGAAGGCGGTTCACGCTGAATTCATGTTCGGCTTGCGTTATCATGTAAAATATGTGCATTTTGCGGTCTTTACTTGTCTTAACCAAGGTATGCAACGCTGCGACAAGCATAAATTAACCTATGGCCCTCAGTTTCAAAGATGAAAAGAAACAGTGGTCAGAGCAGCTGATCCGACTCCGACATCGGTTTCGCGCGCAGATTTCTTGTTACAAAAGGAGTGGGCTCTTAGCGACGTCCACATCCTCTTCGTCGACCTCGAACCTGGGTTCGACTGATGATGATGCTCTGTGTGTTTGACACACCTTATCTGCGTGGCCTGCACGGACCCGGACTTCTGTTACGCATGTTCTGTCATTGACTGATGACAGAACCACAGAGTACCCCCAGTGTCCGCAGGGTTCACCACCATAGTAAGGTATCATTCCGTTCCACCAATTACCAGACACAACACTTGACCTGAGGTGACAACTTGAACTCGCTTGTTCCGCCTCTTGCTATCGCATATCCGCCCTCGACCCTTATGTGACGTCTCCTGCACTTATTTGTCCAAACTGCATGTGCCCAAACTGCGCAGCTGTAGACAAGCATCACTAGCATTGCGTGTTTCTTCTCAACCACCAAGAGTGAGGTGAGTTTTGCGCTGCATCTATGAAGAGTAGCGGCTGGAGTGCTTGAGGTGTTCTACTACCTGCCAGTCACGCCAGCCACACGTGCTTGCCGATTCCTAGGACTGCCTCCGAGTTTCTCGGTTTAGAAAAGACGCGTACTCTGTAAGTCTGTTGGCGAACTACTGAGACTTGCTTGGCTGTCTACTTCGGTGTAGGCCTAACCAATCAGAAGCGTGCAGCTCTCAACGCGCGCTTTCAAGTTCCCCATGAAAAGGGAGCGCCATTGGCCTGCGGAGCCGAGCGCCACGAACTCATTTCTCTACCGCCTCGTCCCTGTTACTCGATACTCACTTGCCGCTCCTGTACGCTCTGCAAACCGAACTCGTGAAACAACAGCAACTTGCATAAAACGACATGTCCAGCTTTCCGTGGCTCAGGCTCACGTTTGCTAGCGCAGCTTGTGAGTGAAGCAGCTTCAAGTACGGCGCAGAGGTTCACTACGTGCGTACATTTACGTTGAAAGTCATAGGAGTAGGATATGTCATTATGCAAAGTTAGTATGGATGACTTTCCATTATTCTATGCTGATCGCGGCGAACACTTTGCATACAGCTACTACACCGACGGAGGAGGAGCTGTACAACGTAAGTGCTCTGCAGGGCACAGCGTCTCGCAACACCATACTGACATCACGATGTAGAGAATGGCGCCTGACCTGCGCAAGAAAGCCGACGCAATCCGTGCCGCAAGACTGGAAAGAGAACAGACCATACAACGGCAGTCTCAGGCGCAAGTGTGTCTGACATCCCTAATCCATACTGCCCCTTGTTGACACCACGCGCGCAGCTAAACGACCCCGATGCAACAAAACCGGTATGGGCGGACCCATCACGGAGGTCCTGAGGGCTGGTCTGCAACGTCGAGACCTGCATTTGCCATCGCTCTTGGATTGTATGACAATAAATTTCATTAACGTATATAATTGTAATCCCTCTTCAGAAGATGACTAGATGACTAGTGGCCGGCAAGAACTCTCGTCTCAGCGCTTCGTAGGACGATGCTTACTGTGCATGTCCACAACGATATGAGAAGTAGTGGATGCTAGGGACGGGATGAAAACAGAAGCCACCGCCACGACACGGGAATGGTGAGAACAGAAGAAGTCACGAAGTGACCGCTTTGTTCACAAGCAATGCGACTTCGAGAATCTGTAGCTCCTCGTCTGCCCCATCACATAGCGCTTTATCTGCTTCTGCCAGAGCCAGCGCACTCTGCGCCTTCTGTCGTGCGGTCAGTGTTGGATGCTCAATAATGAGGTCATGAAGCTACGTGCACGGTCAGTCGTGCAGTCTAGAATCTAAGCATGAATGCATACCTGCGTGAGCAATTGAGCAGCCGAGTAACCCTCCCTCACAATCTCCTTTACTTTCCTCTGTATCTGGTCGAAACCCTTCCGTCTGTCCGTAGTGCCGTCCACGTCCATAGTGTCGCCTTCAATACCAAGCGCTGCAGCAAAGTTTTGCACAGCTTCATCCGGTACGACGCCCGCTATCTCCTGAATGTCTGCCGAGGTGATCGGCGCCGGTGGGTCCGTGCTGTTCGCAAGGCGCGACGCAGACTGTAGGTAAGTGATGGAACGGCGCAGGTCACCATGCGAAGTGTTTATAAGCGTGTCAATGACAGAGTCGGGAATGTGAATATTCTCTGCACTCGCAATGGCTGCAAGCCGCGCGGAAGTCGAGGCATTGTCGAGCGGCTTGAAGCGGAATTTTGAGCAGCGGGAGGCAAGTGGTTCTATTATTCTGTGTCGCGCGTTACAGATGTGCATACCTGGAGAAATGATGGTACGAACCGTGTGACGTAGTTACACACCAAACAGAACCTTGTTATCCGCACGTAGTTCTCCATTATCCGCCGTAACGCAGCTTGGGCATCTTGCGTCATAGAATCCGCCTCATCCAGGATTATAATTTTGTATGGCGGACATGGGTACGTTTTGTCGTCCGAAGACGCGGCTTGTGCGCGAGGGGTCTGGCGAGCGAAGTCCTTGATCTTCTCTCGGACGATGCTTATACCTCGTTCGTCGGAAGCGTTGAGCTCAAGAACACGCGACCTGAAGTTGTCTGGCCTTCCGAGGGAAGAATGAGGCTTCCGGTCTTGGACATAGAGGCGTTACATACCCGAACAGTTGTCGCGCCAGAGCGAGGATAGTTGAAGTCTTTCCTGTTCCGGGTGGACCATAGAACAGCATGTGTGGCAGCTGCAAGTAACTTGAGCTCCTGTGTCAGGTATATTCGTAGGATGCGAAGCATACATTTGTTGATGTCAGTGTCCTTCTCAATACAGCCACTGTGTGCTCTTGAGCAGAGACATCGTCTATCGTCTTCGGTCGGCTGCATCCCAATTTCAGTGATTTCAACCGAGATATCGCGAACGACCTCACTATTTCTCAACCCAAGGCTGCAGTGCCGGATCTATTGTGTGCTTGGCGGGCTCCTTGGGCGCATGGAGCTGGAAAAAAGCCATCGCTGGGGAAGGTGATGGTGGACGTGACCAGATGTCCGTAGCGCGTGTGACGCGTTCACTTAGTCGCGTACTGTCACAGTGCGGTAACGACGGTCACTGCTCCGGGCGTCACGTCGCGTGGTCGTTCCGCACGTTGAGCAGACACCGTCATCACTACCGGCGACGATGGCGGCAATGACCGTCATGGCAACTACAGACATGAATAGGAGTACGTGCGCTTTTTGAGACGTTAGATATACTGCTGACGCTTTCGTGCAGCAGCACAAGATGCAGCTGCACCAGGTACAACAACAATCTCTACTTCCAACCCGAAAAGGCTCATTCATCGTGAACGATAGTTGTAGATGAGAAACCAGAACGCGTCCCTCTGGTCGAACTTAAGAATGGAAAGCTAGCGGTGAAGCAAAAAGCTCTCTCATTCGAGAAGATGTCCGAGACTATGCAAGGTATGTTTTACCCACAAAACTCTCGTTGAACACGAAGTATCGCAGCCCCTCACTCACAATACATCATCAGAAATTGTACAGCTCAGAGAAATGCTCGAGGGAAGGATGGAATGCAAGGCGCCACCACTAACTACGATCCCTGACGACCACCGACCCTTGATTGCCAAATTGACACAGGAGAGGTGAGTTACTTGTGTGCCACGTCGACTCCCGTGACTGTTGGTGTATTCCCCTTTAGTCCCCCTTCGAAGTTTAAACTCAGTTTCTGACGATCTCATTCCAGCGAAAAGACCCTTACTGCGCTCTCAAAACACATTCAACAGGAGCTGTTGCCAGCTCAAGACGAGGACGATGAAGAAGCATGCAGGGAGATTCAATCCGCGTTACCATTAGACGTCATCGAGAACTCCGTCAAAGCGACTGCGGTACGGACGAACTACGGATTGGATGCTGCGCGGATACCCAACGCCCCTACGGGTGCAAAGATACCAGTGGCGTGGCAGATCTGGCGGTGGGAGGTGAAAGAAGAGTTTCGGGAATGGCTTCCTAAACAGTCTCGAGAGAAAGCACTGTTAAGGCTTTTTGAACGGAAGCAGGTGCGCTAGTCATCTCAAGTCATGTTTACAGAGCTTCACGGTATTTCACAGATCATGGAGGACGTCCTCACTTTGTTCCAAAGCCTACCAGAACCTGATCAGCTGTCTATTCTCTCCGGGAACGCCAAGATCTCGACAAGTACCGCGAAAGTGCCACCGACGGTGGGGAAGCCCCCTGCGTCTGTCCTCCCTGAGGACAATGAGCTGCCGCGATCAGCGCCGGCGGCTCTGCCGGCTGAGCTAGGCGCATCGTCAGGTTCGCTGAAGGGAAATTTTGACGAAAATGGCGATGAAAGCGCAAAGCAGCAGTCAGAAGATCCAGACTCGCCTGCGAAGGCTGGAAAAGGGCGGCCAAAAAAGCCCGTTGACCCAGAGAAAGCTGCTAAGGCACGTGTTTCTACATGTGCTACTCCAAGCTCGCTGATTGCATCATCTTATATAGGAGAAAGAGCGACTTGAGCGGAAGCTCGCGAAGGCTGAGAAGGAGAAAAAGGCTCAGGAAGCCCATAGCCGGTCTCAAAGCCTTCTGGCCACCTTCTTCGGCAAACCCAAGGCCTCAGCTGCCAGCTCCTCTGCCTTGTCGAGTAATGCCAGCTCAACATCAGCAGGGGCTAAGGAACAGTCTAAGGTCATTTCGGAATTTGAGAAGGCATTCAAGCCGTTCTTGCTGAAGAAGGACGCGACGCTTGCACCGATAAACTGGTTTGCGGAAGTGCAGGCAGGAAAGACGTTCAAGGGAAAGGAGAAGGAGAGCGGGGTTATCATCATCGATGACGACGAGGATGAGCGCGAGTGTAAGGCAGAGAAGCCGAGGGCGCAAGAGGACGAGGATGTGCAGATGGTCGATGCGTCAGAGTGGGAAGGCCGCTATCAGGATCTGGGCCAGAAGACAGCGGAAGGTGGGTCTTCGTTTATGCGTAGCAAAATTATGCTCGCTAACGTCGCTGCCACAGAACGCCTGAGAGACTCGTTACGTTCCTTGCACCCCCACCTCCGGCCTCCGGCGCTGCCTTACCCCCCTCGGCGACATCCGACCCTCAAGTCGTACCACCCCTACGTCGTGCGCACAATCATGCAAAACCTCACTGAAGCCGAGGTGACAGGCGAGGATGATGCGGCGGTGCGCAAGCCGCTGGCTCTGCTACGTGACCGCGCAAAGATCCCTGCGAAGGTGCTCATCTTCCACGAAGACTCCCGCCCGGGATACTTTGGCACCTGGACACGCAACTCGCGCGAGGTCGGGCCGCGTCGGCCATTCGGGAAAGATGTGGTAAGCATCGACTACTCCGTCGACAGTGAGGCGGAATGGGAGGATGACGAAGAAGGTGACGTCCTGGAGGACGCGGGCGACGAAGACGACGAAGACGCTGGCGCGGCGGAAGATGCGGACTCGGACCTAGAGAGCTGGCTTGTTGATGATGATGAACTTGTCGAGCCCGGTACGCCCATAGACGAGCGACTCGGCAGTCCCGACTTCCCGCCGCTCCCCGCGCCGAGCAAGCGCAAGAGTAAAGAAGGTGAAGAGAAGAAAAGCAAGAAACGGCGCGTCGTAGAGCCGCTAGTTCCGTTTGAGAAGGGCCCATGCTGGGAGGACACCCTTGGTGAATGCACATGGGAGCCTTTCAAGGCAATGCGGATACATTTTCTTAACGGTGAGAGATTAATTGGTTCATGGTCTACACAAGCTAATACGCTGTACACAGACACACCAGTCCCCATCGATCCTTTCAAGTTCGTCGCGCCTCCCGTCGAGCATGTCCCAGCAGGCAAAACTACAACACAACCGTCCCAGTCCGTCAATTTTGCCGTCCCTGCACTGCCTGCGCATGTGGCCTCCGCGTCCTCCGCCTTAGGCAGCCTCTCCATTGAGCAGGCCAAGCGCCCCATGGCGGCTCCAAAGACGGCGTTCCCAGAGGCATCGGTGCCAGTGCTGCTTGCAAAGATCAAAGAACTCAACACGGGCAGCCTGGCCGTGATTGTTGAGGGTGTGTATAAGGAGTTGAATGCGCTTGTGAAAAAGAATGCGATCGAAGCCAAAGTTCGAGAGATCGGTGAGAAGAGCAGGGAACCTGGTGCTGGGAAAGTGTGGGTCGTCAGGTCCGAGGTCACGGTGAGTGTTTCTCATCTTTAACGAGGGATTGAGAATTAATGAGCGGGAATGTAGGCATTGTACGGTTTGGCGTGAGGAGAGACTGCGGTGCCGTCGGTTTGATTACGTTTGCATGGACTCTAGGTTCCTCGCGGCATGCTAGCCGTCATTGCATATATTCTACAGATCTTATTTGGCTCTCGGATCTGCTGCTCGACTGTATATACCCTTAGCACGCTTTCAGATCAGCGTGCCAATCTCATGTAGTCACCTAACGCATGTGCTCGGCCAGGTTCAGAAAATGAGAATATTGCTAGTGTACATTCGGCATGCAGGAAGGGATATTAGTAATAAATAGAGTATATCCTCAGCCTAAGGGGCGGAGATCATGATGAGGCAAGCTTCCAAGCGAAGTTGGCGTAGTCTGCGTCAGAAAGCGTTGGGTCGTTGAAAGAGAGAACGTGTATGTCGCCGGATCGTGCACCTGGATCGAGTGTCAAATAGATGTTAGAGTTTACGCGTACTTGGCACTCACGGATGAGCATCTTGTGCATCCTACCGTCCTTGTCTATAATGGGCTCGAACCCAAGCCCGCGGTACATCGCGAGTCGCAACCTTCATTCACATTAGCATCGTCCAGCTTAACAGAGATGAGAAATACGCACACGGTCGCGTCTAAATCATGCTTCGCAGCTGGATCTTCCTGCTCTAGTGCCTGCAGCTCCTCCTTGAGACCCTGTAGCTCCGCCTCCTTGCGCGCGAGCAGGTCCTCTGCCTCGTTGATCGCTTTGCCGAGCGAGAATTTGGCGCCGTCAAGCCGGTTCAGCGTCGTGGCGTGCTGTTCCGCGCTAGGCACTGTGCTTGGGCGTGTCGAGGACACGCGCGCGGCTTCCAGGACCCTCGCGAGTTCTAGTGGTGAGGATGCATCGGCGAGGAAGCAAAGACAGGAACTTGATGGACGGACCACGCAGTTTGCCTTTTGCTTGGTCGATCTCTTTCTTGCGCGTTGCCTCCGTCAGTGACATCTGCTCTTCAGCTGCTGCGATAGTCATGTAGTCTTCTTCTGGGTCAATGATTGCGGCGCCTTCCCGCATGGTCTTACTAGGTCGAGTTTGACAAGTCAGCAAGGACAATCCGCAATACTATGAGAGCAATCGACGTGCATGATATCTTTAATGTCTATTGAGGCCATCTTGTCTGTGAGTCGAGGGTGTGCTTGACGAAGAGTGAGGGTTGCGGATCAAGCTGCACAAGCGCCGAAGCGGTTCGGCGCGTTTCGGCGCGTCGAGGACGCGACGCGACGCGTATTTCCACGATCATCGATCATGAAGTATAGAAGTGTCATGTTGCAACAGTACTATGGCACTACTCAAGCGGGCATCGCGGCTACCACGTGCGAATTGTGCTTTGCGCTAATAAAAACTCGCTGGAGTGGTAGCCAAGAACATTCAACGATATCAACTCTCAGTCGACCTCAGGGTCGACTTTCACTACCACCTTGCCCAACGCCCTCTGTGACATAATTCGGTCGTATGCCGCAAGAGCGTCTTCGAACTTAAATACGCTGTCGACGATAGGCTTGACCTTACCCTCGTCGACATACCGCGCCAGTTCCTCTAGCTTCTCTTTTTTCACTGTCATCACTGGCAGCTTCCTCCACTGCCGCGGCGTTCCACCGAGCCAGAGTGGGCGGTTGACCTCCCACGTTAGCCAAGCGAAGTTCATGATGCTTCCCAGCGTGCTGGTGGGCCACGGCGCGACAGCGAGGTAGAGCCCGTTCGGCTGCAGGTATGCCGGGCTTTGGGTGTATAAGGGCACGTTCGCGTCGCCGACGGCGTCAAAAATGAGGTGGAACTTGGGCGTCGGCGGGTCGCGTTCGAGTTGCTCATACACCGGCGCCTTGGTGTAGTCTACGAACTGCGCTTGTCGTGAGCGAACTTTACGAGGGGAGCTGACGAAATGGAAAATCATACCGCGTCTACACCCAAGCTACGGAGGAACTCTTCCCGCTTGCTGGATCCAGTGACAGTGACTTTAGCACCGATCGCCTTCGCAAGCTGGATCGCAACAATGCCCACTGCGGTGCTCCCACCGTTGATGAAAAGACTCTGGCCTTCTTCGAGCTTCCCTATGTGAACGAGGGCTTCACACGCTGTGAGCCCCACGAGACCAAGGCCGGCAGCTTCGCTGGGTTTAAGGGAAGGCGAGCGTAGGACGATGTGCGATGTAGGCACACGCGTGTACTGCACGAGAGAACCTTGCCCGGTCCCAATTTTGAGGCCTGTGCGAAACCATTGTAGGTCAGCGAAGAATATGGAAGGTACAATGAGAGCGTACCAACGGGGACAAAGCCCCAGACTGCCTGGCCAGTTGCCAGGTCTGTACCATTCGCGTCGGCGATAATGCCCGTGAAGTCATGCTCAGCAACGTGCGGTCGTTTTGCGATGAAGTTTGGTAAGATTCCCATGAGCTTGTAACCCCTGTGCGTAACGAATGTGAGTAAGCGTCGAGCAGATGACAGTATGCACTGGAAGGTGACATACACGGGGTTGAGGGCAGCAGCTTGCACTTTGATAAGGACCTCTCCTTCAGCGAGATCGGAGGGAACAGCAGCATTCTCGTCAAGGACCAAGGCGACCCTGGGCTTCCCTCTCCTCACAACAACCCAGGCTTTCTGTCTGTGGAATATGGCGGCGTCGTTCAACTTTGTCGCCGACATGATAGTACTAGAGGAGCGAGGTTTGTTTTTTGCGCACATCGCAGGTATATATGAGCACCCTGAGTCTATCATTGACTGTTGTTTAAGGGCAGTCAGCTGCAGACTGAATTTCAACGAGGGGCAGGTGACAAGACCAGCCTGAGACCGAGTCAGCGACGAAGCGCCTAGCGGTGTTTAACGCGTCTGCACGTGAAAAACGGCGCGTACTACTCAACGAGATACAAAAGATGCAAGATATCCAGGCTAAGGTCACTGGGGTCACTCAACAGAAGGATCCACTCTCACTACGACTTTCCCGGTCGATCTACCCTCCATGACACGCTCGTACGCCTTTAGGACATCTTCGAATGCAAAGACAGAGTCAACGACGCCCTTCACCTTCCCTAATCACAAGAACAGCGTGTCCTCAGTAATACCGGATGATATTACACGGAAAACACTCTTACCATTGGTAACATACTTGCCCAGCTGCTGAAACTCGTCCGGTCTATTGCTGACAGAAATTAGCCTGCATCGGAGCGTCAGCATCCATTACAGTATGGGAGACGTAACATAAAGCACTCACTTCCACGAAGCCTTGACGCCACCAAGGAACCTAGGCGTCATGATAGCAAGCATGAGCTTCGCAATACCAACATAGCCCCCGCTGGTGCTCGGCTGAGGCCCAACGGTGACGAAGGTGCCGCCTGGAGCGAGGTACGCTCCGCTGCACGTATAAAATAGCGGATCCGCAGTACCGACTGCCTCCAGAAAGACATGATATTTGGGTGTCGGTGGGTCCTTTGCCAGTTGCTCGTATACAGGACCTTTGGTGTAATCGACAAACTGACGAGGAGATTGCCACCGGGTCACCATCTGACAAATTCTCGTACCGCGGCGAACGCACCCTGTCAACTCCGAGTCCCCTGAGGAACTCTTCCTTCTTGCCAGATGCGCTTGCACCAACCGTGCATCCGAGTGCCTTGGCCATCTGGATCGCAACAATGCCCACGGCAGTGCTCCCGCCGTTGACGAAGATGCTTTGCCCCGGCTCGAGCTTCGCACTCTGGAAGAGCGCATGATACGCCGTCGCGCCCACGAGGCCGAGCCCGGCCGCCTCGGTCGTCTTGACATTTGGCGGCTTTGGGAGCATGAGCTGTGCGGGGACGCGCGCATACTCGCAGAGTGCGCCCTGCCTGCTTAAGAACTGAGTGGCTGCGAGGTAGGGATGTCAGGCGGAGGATGAGGGAATGAGGGAAAAGGTGCGTACGGATCGGTATCCAGCCGTAGACCTCTTGTCCCTTCTGCAGGTCTGTGCCGTTCGCGTCGACGATGACGCCTGCGAAGTCGTGCTCCGCGACGTGCGGGCGGCGCATGACGAAGTTGGGCAGCAAACCTATCATTTTGTAGCTTCTGTTGTGCTCACATGGGCACTCAGTATTTGAGGTCACTAGGAGAGTGTAAGGAGGAGGACCTACATCGGATTGAAAGCTGCGGCCTGTACACGGACGAGTACTTCGCCCTTGGCGAGCTTCTTTGCCACGGGGTATTTGTCGTCCAGCTTCAACGCTCTAGCGGGCACGCCCTTGCGAACAATGACCCACGCCTTCTGGGTGTCTGGAATGGTGAAAGCAGCCATTCTATGCTACGCGCAGTGTCCAAAGCTTAAGGGACGAGAGGGGCGGTCGGGTTACGAAAGAACGGGGTGTATGAGCGAACTTGCCAGCTCTTTTGATGAATGCATAGCAAAGATGTTGATGGTTGATGGAGCGGATAACGAGACCGTGTGCTCGATATCTCTCCCACGAAATCTCGCACTGTGATGGCAAGCGTAGTGCGGCCTGGCAGGGGTTGCGTGCTTCGTTGTCAACGACCGATCGTCAGCATCATGCGCAATAGCCGGCCGCGGTCTATCATACGAGGTGAATTCACAGCTAAGCTCTGACTAGGCTACTGTTACATTGATATATGCAGAACACTAACGCGAAAGCGAGCGGGGTACATTAAAACGACAAATGAATGAAGAGAAGCTTGAGCGAGCGCGGCCAACGTGAGACGACATTGAAGCAGACAAAAGATGGAGGTGTATTGATGTGTTGCGCAGCGGTAGGAGTGAGACCGCCCGACAGATTACAGGTTGAGGTATATGCCTCATCGTACAGTTACTGGTCTGGTCCGTGGCGGGCGAGCGTCGTCGGGATCCGACAGTAACGCCAGTGTTTTAGATGTCCTCGTCCTTGTCCTCTATCTGCGACGGCTTGAGCATGCCGGGGATACGCATTGCGGCCTCGCGCTCTTCTTGTGCCTTGCGCTGAGCTTCGTCTTCCTTCTCCTCGAGATACAGCTCTGCGTTGTCGCCAGCCGAGAACTCCTTAAGCTGTATCAAGAAGTCGCGCAGTGCCAGCTTGAACCGGTTAATGTCGTTGTGGAACTCGCCTAGGCTCATCACGAACGTCTGGATTTGCGCACTGCAAACAACTTGGTCAGCTCACGTCTTCTCCTCGAAGTTGACAGGCACTCACTTTTGCACGTGGGGGAATGCTGACTTGAGGAGATTCGCTGTGTACTCCCGTAGGAAGACCGTATTGTTAATGCTCGGATCCGGCACTTGTGATGGGTCGAACAACGGGACAGTGATCTGGTTCGTCTCTACAAGCTGGAACATGCGCGCGAGGAGCATACTCTGCAGCTTGAAGCCGCTCTTATGATCTGTGTCTGTGAGGACATAGAATATATCCTGCATAATGCTCAGGAAGTATTGTTGGAAGAACGCATTTGCAACTCCTGAGTCGGCGGTGGCGAAGTTATTAATGACTTCCAGACACACTGAAAAATCGGTCAGCAAAAACTAGACAGAGAAGCTCAAGCACATTTACAGTTCAGGCCGGTCTCGGCAATGTCACGCATCGTGTGCTTGATAGCCCAGATGATACTATCCATGAACAGCTTGAATTGTTGTGGCGGGATGGTCAAGAGAGCCGGGAAGCAGTTCAGGTTGATCGCACGGAGTAGCTTGAAAAAGCCAACACGATGTTCAGGGAACTCGGCGAAGTCTTGATTGATCATGTTGAGTGTTGGCTCAAACACAGCATCCAAGATTGCGGGCACCTGGGGCGTCAATAGAGGCTGCGACAAAGTTTCGAGTTAGCATGCCCGTACAATGAGTAAAGCTTTTACATACTCCTAGCCTGCTAATGATCGTAGCCATGACGTTCAACACCTCGGCGTCGCGCGCCGCAGGGACGTTACGGTTGTAGTCACCAAGGATCGCGTCGAGGAGAGGAGGCATGAAGTTGCCATTCACAGTCTCAAGATCCTCGGCCTTCCTGATGAATGTCTCCATGAGCTTGAGGACCTCTTTTTTGATCGTCCTGAGCTGGCGGACTTTCGGCGTCTTCGTCGCGATCAGGCCTTCGCGCGCAATAGTCTCGCTGATAATACCGCTGACGGCCTTGTATAGGCCAAGCATGTCGAGGAATATACGTGCGATCTGCGGGAGGTAGAATGCGCCGATGGAGGTACACGCCGCGACGTTCGTCTTCAAGACATTAGAGAGAATCTTGATGTTATCCATGTTACCGAGAACATCCATATTCTGTGCCGCTTGCGCCATGAGCGAGTCCCACTATATGGCAGACTTAGCAATATCCGGGTAAAATTAAGACGACTGGTACGGACGGCGTTGTTGGGCAGCTCCATAAGTTTTGCAATGAGCTTCTCTTGCTGAGGCTTGTTCGGTTGCGCAGAAATCATGTAGCCGACGGCCTCATAGAATGTGTGCACCTGCTGCGGCGACAGGTCGACGGTGATGCGATGCAGCATCCGGAGGATCTCGTCGACGAATGGCTCGGTCTCGCCTGCCTGCTGCATGACAAAGTGGCGACGACACTTCTGCGCAATCTTGATAAACGTATCGCACGCCATGTCTTGGACACCTGTATACATACGCGAGTTTGCGACGTCAATCTTCGTTATTGCTCGCAGGACCATCGACTGCCACACGAAAGAAGGCGACAGAAGATACACAACGAGAGAAAAAGCAGCAAGGGGACAACGGAACGCACCTTCGTGGGTCTCGTGCATGAACTCGAATAACTTGTTGACGACTGTCTTGAGGAACTTCCAATGCGCTTTGAGGAAACGAGGATACTGGCCGACGATGTACATGATGTCCGATGCCACAACGGCTTTGTTGTCCTTGCCGCGCTTGATCTCGCATAGACCAAGTAGGTCCTTGATAACGGTGACCAAAAAGCGCTTCTCAGTCTCCTCGTCTGTATCTAAATGAGTGAACGGGTCGCACGCCAAAAAGAACGTACGTACTCATGGCGCCGGATATGGATCCAATAGCCCAGCACAGAGTATTGAGGTTCTGCCACGACCATTCGGAGCCGTCCACTTGCTTGGCAAGCTTCTCCGTGAGAATGGTCTCGGTGTCTTGAACATCCAGGTGGGTGAGGTACACAAGTAGTTCGCGCATCTGCTTGTAGAGGACAATGGTGTCACTCTCCTTCATGAACTCACGTACAATCTCTCCCTCCTCGTTCTCGACGATGAGAACCTTTGTATCAAGAGTCAATAATCCAAATAGCACGTCTGTGGCGGATGGCGCACCTCCTCAGGCTTCACCATCTTCTCGATGACAACCAACCGCAAGTTCGAGAGCACATCACTGTATATGGTCTTGCGTAGATTCATGCCGTTTAGCATACTCTGCGAACCACCGAGACTGAGGCCCATGAGAAGCCCCGAGTCGCCGATAGGTAGACTCTGGATCTCCTCGTACAGCTCAGCGACAAGCTTGAGCCAATACTCAAGACAGATCTTGAAGATTTCTCGCTCATCGACCTGGGAGATCTTGACGAGGTAGAGATGAGCATTGAGCAGTACATCACGATTCTGCTCGGTCTCTACAGCGCGAAGGTGGTTCGATAGGAAGTTACAGAGGAAAAGCGCAAGGTTCAGGACGAGCTCTTGGCCAGCATCGCCCGCATTTGCGTACGCCTGGGCAATGTTCGTGCTCGGAGGAATCATCCGGTTGACTGAGGTCATGACCATCGCGAAAAGGATAACAAATTTCGGGTCGTATTCGGGACCCACATTGAGCGCCGCAATCTCTGCGAGACACTTGAGCGTGACATTACGAAATTCTGGAGCTTCCAGGAACTACGTGCACGGTGAGAAAGTTGCCACCGGTAACAAAACGAATACGCACTCGGTTCAGCAAAAGATCGATTATTGTTGTCTCGAAGATGTATCCCAGAGGTATCCAATTGAGGAACCTAAGCAGGGTCTCAAGGGTAGCCCTGATGAGCGAAGTCTTCTGGGCCTCCTCGAGGATCTCGGAGCAAAGCTTGAAAATTTCAGAGAACTCGCCACACATTTGATTCTTGAGATTCTTGACTTTTGCCTGAGTCATTTGTTCGGCAGAGAAGTCGAAAACCTCCTCGGAGAGAAGTCGCAAGATGACCATGTTGTTCTCGCACAGTGAGAGATTCGTCTTGGAGGATTCCACAAGCTCGGAAATGAATGTCGGCCAGTTATGTGGCCATTCTTGCTTCAGGATCTAAGGAAGATGTTGAGATGTACAGACAAGACGCTTTGGCGGCGGGGGCGCACCTGCACCAAAGCAAGATTGAGCTTGTTGACATATGTCTTTTCTCTCCGGAGGGTGGCCTCGTCCGACGCGATCTTGACAGTTATGCCAACAATGAAGTTTCGAATGCCTGGTGTGAATGTTGGCAGTGTCACAAAAGAAACGCGTCTGCTTACTCACCTTGCCGCTGGCCCTCTGGTAATGACTTCCATCGCGTGAGAATCAATTTCTCGAGGATCTGAAGTCCTATATACTACAGGTGCTAGGTCAACATGAGATACAAGATAAGGCCGGATGCAACGCACTTTCGCCTGAGGAAAAGATGACCGTTCAAGGATGTCGGGAACCCTAGTCCATGCATCTGGATGCTCTTGAAATTGTGTGAGCACTTGCTGAGCCATTTGTTGCTGTGAAATAGGCGAGATACGATGAGATACGCGTATCGTACGCGATATGAAGAACACGTACTTCCTGCCCAGAACCGGCATAGAAAGCCATGGCGACCTTGTCCATTAACGAGACGTCAAACTCCCTCGAAAAGTCGAGTATGCCCTAAAATAGTACGGCTTGGGATCAGCACGACTAAGACGCGATGTATTCGGCTGAGCGTACCTCCATGGTGGTGGCGACGTGGGGATTTGAGGCCGAGGTGAAAGAAGAGAGAAAGAGAGTCGGGGTTGCTGTGGGCGGCGTCGGTGGACACTGCTGAGTGTGGTTGGGCAGAGGGTCAGATCCGTCCCGATCTCCCTTACATCAGCGCCAGAGCGCGCCGAGCGCCCGCATAACTAGACGCCCACATTGGGATGTCGCATATACAACGTCTACAGCGTAACATACTATCCCCTGCAACTAATGTACCAGAAATTCTGAGTTTATTACAGTTCGTGGCCTTCCTGAAACTGCCGGTACCGCCGCAGAACCTCTGGCGTAATTTGTTTCTTGACCACCTTGGCGGCCTCGATGAACGCACTTTGAGGCACCTGCACGTCCGGTTAGCCCTAGTTCTCCGTAATGCGAAAAGTCAACATACAAATTGAGCCTGGAAGTTCTCTCTCATCGTCAGCATCGCCGCCTCTTGGCAGAGCGCAGCGAGCTCAGCGCCAGAATAGCCGTCGGTCTAGAGAGATCGGTTGTCAGTACGCATCTTCATCGTGGTAACGAATACTGATTATACCATCCGAGAAATTTGTCCGACGTCAAGCTCGGGCTCAACGCTCATCTTTTGTGTACGTATCCTAAGAATCTCCACGCGTCCCTGGAAATCAGGTGGGCCGACGAAGATTTGGCGATCCAAGCGACCAGGGCGCATGAGTGCAGAGTCCTGTAATTGGCCATGAGAGCACTACTCAAGCTCATCACCGAGAGCTGCTGACCAAGACGTCTGGTCTATTCGTCGCTGCAACGACAGTCACACCGACGAGCTCCTCCACGCCGTCAATCTCATTTAGAAGACTTGTAAGCACGCCTTCGTGAGCGTTGCTATCGGAACCAGTGCGCGAAGAGCCGAGGGCGTCGACTTCATCCTGTGGCGAACGCTCGTCAGGAATGGTATGCAGTCTGTGACAGTCTGCACTCACAAAGAAGATGATCGAGGGCGCAGCTGCTCGAGCTTTCCTGAAGATTTCGCGAACTGCGCGCTCGGACTCGCCAAGATATTTATTCAGCAGCTACGCACCGATTAAATTTGGGAGATATATGCACAGTTCTGGGGACGCACCTCCGGACCCTTGACAGCGACGAAGTTCACCCCGCTTTCCGTAGCCAAAGCACGGACGAGCATTGTCTTGCTACATCCAGGCGGACCGTACAACAGCACACCCTTCGGAGCTTTGACACCAAGCCTCTCAAACGCCTCGGGATGCTTGACTGGCCATTCTACACACTCGCGCAGCTTCTGAATTGTTGTAGCTTGCCCGCCGATGTCGCTATAGCGTACGCGAGCAGTGTCGAGAAAGACGGAGCGCAGTGCGGATGGGCGGACGCTCAATAACGCGCCGGCGAGATCGTCAAAAGTGACCTTGGCCTCCGAGATCGAGGACGGGTCGGAAGAATGCGAGGCGAGCCAGCGTTTTATGGTCGAAGTGCCGGCTTCACGCACTACGGCACTAAGGTCGGCGCCAACGTATCCATGCGCGCGCGAAGCTACAGTGCGAATTTCGTCCCGAGTAAGCGTGTGTGGGGTTTTGACAAGGAGGACGTCGAAGATCGAAGCTCGTGCATCAGCATCTGGTACGCCTGAAAACAAGTTTGCTAACAACATGATCATGCATGTAAAGTGGATACGCACCAATTTCGATCTCTCGGTCAAATCGCCCCGGTCTTCTAAGGGCAGGATCGATGGCATTCGGCCTGTTAGTTGTCGCGACGACTACGACCTGCTCCTCCTTCCCGTCTTTGCCTATTTCCTCTATGCCATCCATGATAGTTAGCAATTGCGCCACGACGCGCTTTTCTACCTCTCCACCGGGGCCTTCCTCACGCCGGGGACACAGCGCGTCGACCTCATCGAGCACGACGATGCATGGACTCTTCGCCCGGGCTTGGGCGAAGACGTCACGGATCTTGGATTCAGTCTCGCCGTGATAAGCAGAGGAAAGTTCGGGACCATTGATGATGATGACCGAAGAGTTCGTTGAAGCCGCGATTGCACGTGCGAGATGAGTCTTTCCTGTTCCCGGCGGGCCATGCAAGAGGATACCACGAGGCGGTTTGAGACCTGAGTGTACCGAGCAATGTAAGTAGTAGATTGTTTTGTTCACTGGCGAGCACGCTTACCAAAGTGGCGGAAGAGCTCCGGATGTGTTAGAGGAATCTCAATGAGGTCCCGGATTTGGGCAATCTGCTTGTCGACGCCACCTACAGCGCTATAAGCGTTAGCAGGCAAGGTTGATTCTATGCCTCTCATGTCGGCGATCTGAAAGACTTCAATGGGATGCAGCTCCGTGCGACACGAGCATTTGGTTACCTTGTCATCGGGGCCTTTGCTATCGTCGTAAATGGTAACAAAGGTGTCCCATCCCACGGTCCATAACTTGGGCTTTGAGTC